GTAAAAATTCTCTAATTAGTCTGGAAATGGGAGACCTAATTCTTGCATTTTGTGAAAATGGGTAAGATTGGCTATAATGTAATTATCTTAATCTTCACTATCGTTACTTTTTGCCCACAAATAAAAACCCAGCGAAGCGGGTCCTTGCAGCTAGATTCTAGATTACTTAGAAAAACAGTCTTTTATATATTAAAAAAAAACTATATTACATACAAATGTACGAACAAATAAAAACCCAGCAAAGCGGGTCCTTGCAGCTAGTAAAATATAAAAATGTACTATTTGTTGATAAGCTATTTTCTAATTAATTTAAAAATGAAGAGAAACAAATGCCTGAAAACTATATACTATCTTATATTTTATCTGATCTAGTTATACTAGAAGCCACAAAAGTCTGCAGGATTCCCACTTATAATTTAAGTCAAGTCATTTTGTCTTATTTATTTTTATTTTATGAAATAATTATTTAAATTTTGTCTGTCAATCATATTTACATATTTTTATTTTTGTATGACTTATGTGTTGAAAGGAATAATTTTTCAGAAGCTAATTTTAATAAAAATTGATGAGAAATTATAATAATTTGAATAAATTCTGTTGAATGTAAATTATGATTAAAAATTATATACTTATAACAGATATTTTTTTTTTAATTTGGACATTAAAATTAACATTACATTTTATTTTATTAAGTTAATAAAGTGTAAAAATATTAGAAGCATTATAGAACCCAATGGGAATAAAATTAAATATGGGAATTTCTAATCATATTTTTCAGCTCACTTTTTATTTGAATTATAAATATTTATATCATTATATAATTTAAAATTTTATAAAATATATAATTTAAGTTTTTACATTTAGGAACAGTGATTAGAAGTACTTCTGTTAAAATGTTAGAATATCAAAAAGAATATATGTGTAATAAATGCAAATATTCTTTCACAATTGATGCTGATATTAAACAGTATTATTCTATGCCAAAGCCTACAAAATGTCCAAATCCAGAAGATTGCTCATCAGTTAAATTTACGTCTATTGAAAATGGTATTTTTTTTTTGTTTGAAAATTTATATCATTATTTTTCTTGACATATAAATTTGTGGTAGAGTCAAAAATAAACTAAAGAGTTCTGTGATGATGAGAAAAGGTGTAACACCTGTACTTAAAGAGATAGCACAAAATGGGTTGCAAGACTGTTTTAATAACTGGTTTGAATGTTGGCAGAAAGTGTTTATTTTGAAGGTGTAAATATTTGTACTAGTAATGTAATAAAAGTTATATGAAAAAGTTTGGCTTATTTTTGATCTACTGCCTGGTATTATGAGACATTTTTTTTTAATTTGATTTCAAAAACTCTGCATATTTTATATATATATTGATGTTTGTTTTTTAATNTTACATACAAATGTACGAACAAATAAAAACCCAGCAAAGCGGGTCCTTGCAGCTAGTAAAATATAAAAATGTACTATTTGTTGATAAGCTATTTTCTAATTAATTTAAAAATGAAGAGAAACAAATGCCTGAAAACTATATACTATCTTATATTTTATCTGATCTAGTTATACTAGAAGCCACAAAAGTCTGCAGGATTCCCACTTATAATTTAAGTCAAGTCATTTTGTCTTATTTATTTTTATTTTATGAAATAATTATTTAAATTTTGTCTGTCAATCATATTTACATATTTTTATTTTTGTATGACTTATGTGTTGAAAGGAATAATTTTTCAGAAGCTAATTTTAATAAAAATTGATGAGAAATTATAATAATTTGAATAAATTCTGTTGAATGTAAATTATGATTAAAAATTATATACTTATAACAGATATTTTTTTTTTAATTTGGACATTAAAATTAACATTACATTTTATTTTATTAAGTTAATAAAGTGTAAAAATATTAGAAGCATTATAGAACCCAATGGGAATAAAATTAAATATGGGAATTTCTAATCATATTTTTCAGCTCACTTTTTATTTGAATTATAAATATTTATATCATTATATAATTTAAAATTTTATAAAATATATAATTTAAGTTTTTACATTTAGGAACAGTGATTAGAAGTACTTCTGTTAAAATGTTAGAATATCAAAAAGAATATATGTGTAATAAATGCAAATATTCTTTCACAATTGATGCTGATATTAAACAGTATTATTCTATGCCAAAGCCTACAAAATGTCCAAATCCAGAAGATTGCTCATCAGTTAAATTTACGTCTATTGAAAATGGTATTTTTTTTTTGTTTGAAAATTTATATCATTATTTTTCTTGACATATAAATTTGTGGTAGAGTCAAAAATAAACTAAAGAGTTCTGTGATGATGAGAAAAGGTGTAACACCTGTACTTAAAGAGATAGCACAAAATGGGTTGCAAGACTGTTTTAATAACTGGTTTGAATGTTGGCAGAAAGTGTTTATTTTGAAGGTGTAAATATTTGTACTAGTAATGTAATAAAAGTTATATGAAAAAGTTTGGCTTATTTTTGATCTACTGCCTGGTATTATGAGACATTTTTTTTTAATTTGATTTCAAAAACTCTGCATATTTTATATATATATTGATGTTTGTTTTTTAATATACTGGTACAAAAATCTTTGAATATTATTCTATTATCTTATATCATCTGAATATTTTATTAGAGTTATTTTTGAAATAAGTATATTTTAAAAATATTTTTATTAATATTTTATTTTAATATTTTATTTTATTATTTTATTATATAACTACATATATTATGATAAAATAAAGACATATAATTTATTTATATTAATAAAATTAATTGCTATACAACAATAAACATAGACTATATTGCTATATTTATACAAGGTAATCCTAAAGTCTATATGCAGTTTTATACTTCAATAAACAAAGATATACAAATATTAAAACTATGTAATAAATAATATTTGGGACATTAAGTTTTAAAGTTTTTTACATAGTAATTTTATCAATGTAGAACTTTCATTTTATTTTTATAACAGATTTTGTTAGAGACCCCAAATGGTGATTATTTGAAGAATTAAAGTCAATAACAGTTCTATACTAATCATTATTGTAAACATGCCATTATTTTTTATTTCTAAAAGCTAAATCACACAGTTTACTTTCTCTTTCATTATAATCATTTTAGTTCACTAACAGGATCTGTAAGTAAAATAAAATGAATTAGTTCTACATCCATAAAATTATTGTGTTTAAAAAAACTTCAAAAGTTAAGTTTTCAAATATTTACCAAATAATAATTAACTACAGGAGAGCATTGATTATCCAAAATAAATGCTGCAGGACAGTTTCAAAGAAGTAATTTTTTTTTAATAATTGATGACACTTGGTAGGGAAAGAGCAAAAAAGTAAACACCTTAAAGTTGAAATATTAATTTTAGTTTTAATACCATAGTAAGAAAAGAGGTTAATGCATAGAAATTTAATATATATATGAATGATAAGAAATAACAAACAAATTGTTTAATTTATTAAAAACAATTAGTAGTCTTTCATTGTAATCTGCAATGTACAGTATAGATGAAACTGATTTGATTAAGTAATTGAAAAATTGGAATATCTCAAAATCAGTAAACTTTTAATAAATTTATTACAGATATGAATCCAAATTGGGTTCGTGATTATCAAGAAATTAAAGTTCAAGAACAGATTCGTAATTTGGTTGTTGGAACAATGCCAAAATCAATGTGGGTGATTTTAGAAAATGATTTGGTGGATATTTGTCAACCTGGTCATGATGTACAAGTCAGGTGTGTCCAAAAGTATATTTATTATATAATTAAATTTTTACTATAAAAATGTTTAAAACATTAGAAATTGAATTATAAAACTGTTATTAGATTTAATTATTTATTAATTAATGTCTTTTTTATTAATATAAGGAATTTTATTTAATAATTATAAATCTAAATATTTAACGGAAATTAAGCTAATAAAAAGCATGAAAATAATTGCTAATCTTTAATATTTTTGATTTCCGTGAAAAGAGATTTGATATTAATATCTGAATANATATATATATATATTTATTTAATTTCAGATATAATAATTCAAATGCATATTTTTAATCTTGTAAGAGATCATACCCAAAGTGTCTCCCCAGATATCAGCAAATTTTTACAGTAATGAAAGTACTCATAAAATTGAAAATTGTGCATGAATATTCTGCTGATATGCATTGTGTTTATGCAGTCATTTGTTTTGATATTGCACAATGTTGATTTTGGCTTATGTTACATTTCAATGAAGAAATGGCAAAAATTAATTCTTTCACTGTTGCAAAACTTATTTAATGAAATGTTGTCAAATTATTAAAAATCACTCCAATTATTTGTATGGAAATTGAATTAAAGGAGTAATTTTTGGTAAGCATTATTATGTTTATAATATTCCTTCACATATGGTTACAATAACAATCATAAGTAAATACATTTCTTATAAAAATGGATACCTCCAGCTGGGATTGTAATTCTTTCTGTTGACACCCTTTAATCGTTGCTATGGTTGGAGGAATTAATTCAGTTAGATTCTTTCTTGGCAAAGTTTGGGCTGCATTGTAGTAAATGGTGTACTGCCTGTGGAATAACTTCACCTGAATAATTATAATAGGGGACATTAATCAGAGGTCTACACTTGTATCCTTTTTTCTGTAAAAGTCATTGGAATTTTTTTATCTAACTTTATTTTTGTTTGGAAGATAATTTTAAATTATCTTTCAAATAAAATAGATGACTGGCATGACACTGTTGTTATCAAGAAAATTATGATGTACAGGGGAAGACACTACTAATTTGAGATGGAGAACATATATTTTAAATTAAATTAAGAATATGATTAAAAATTGCAGCCCAGCATTGCGACAATGTCACAATAAATAATTGCTTGTTTCAATAAAAAGTGAATTTTTCAAGGTCATTTTTTTGGTGAAGGATTAGTCTCTTTGACAGTTAAGATATGTTATAATTGTCATGTTAACTGGTTATAAACTTGTGTTTTATAAATATTGAATTTAAAAAAATGTTAAAATATTGATTGTATAATTAATGTTTATATTATATTACTGAATATTTGTATCAACTCTAATAAATGAAAGTTACACTTATTATTATTTAGATAACAAAATCAGAAGTAAAGATTTTGTCATTGTTTAGACTTGCTAAACTTGTCCAGAATTATGTTATAACTGATTAAACTTATAGAATAAGTTATATGAACAAAGAACAAAAGATTATATACAAATTATTCAATGGGTGGTTGGCTCCAAAATGGGTGAGATAAAAAGGAGGTCATCATAACTAATGATTTCCTAATGGATTATTACCAGTGCTACTAACCTTTTATTACATAATTGAAAAACATTCATTACAAAGTTATGACATAATACAATTGTAGCTTTTCATGTAGATATTATATCTATAAACAGTTTGAATCAATGTATTCCTATAGTCATTTAACATCACCATTTTAATTTATCTGCTTCATTTTTAAACTGTGTAATGTAGAAATTCAATTTATATTAATTAAAGTGACATTTGTGTAAAACTTAAAATATTACATGACTTTCAAGTTAGAGGACAGTAGCAAACTAAATCTTTGTGTATAATGTTTTTTTGAATAGTAATTGGATGAACAAAACAATTTCAGCATCCTATTGTATGATCATAAAGTCTTTATTATGTAGGAACACTTAGCTTTCATTGAATGAGATATAATAATATAAATATTCAGTTATAAATTCAGAATGCCACCCTAAATTGACTTCTTTTTAACAGTTACAGTTTACAGTTAACATTAAAATTAAAATGTTATTAAAGTTATTAAGAATTTTGATTAATTCTAACATCAAATTCATTTGTTAATTTATTTTGTATAAATTAAAAATGGTTCAATAAAATTCAACATTTTGTTTTTTTTTTAATTAACTGCTTACTTTGGTATAAGTAATTTGAACAGAAACAACAATTATTTTGCAAGAAAGGTTTAAAGGAAGCCTGTAATTAAAAGAAAATGAAAGTTACAATTATAATCAAACATCAAACAATTTACTGAGCTTATTATTAATTTACTGTTCAAACGTTTTCAGCCTACTTCTAATAGGCCATCCTCAAGACATTACTGTTCTACAATCGAATACAAAACTTTCGAATAAATTTTAAATTTAAATTTTTAACATATTTTTAAACATCTTTATAATAAACTGTAAACTATTAAATACTTAACTAAAAAAATTTTTTAACACTATATATAATAAATATAAAATTAATGTTATAAAAAATATACATTAAACTAATAAAATATATCCTCCATAAGTTTACGGGTTTTTAATTCCCATTTCCTTTTCTAACAAGTATTTCCATACTGTTGGAAGAGCATTAGCATCCTTTGCGTTTAAGCAATTGTTATTTATTTTACTCTTATATATCTGCATTTTTTCTATGCCAAATGCAATAGTCGGAGAATGGACCGGTCTAACTATCCTTGCATCATCCTACTTAACATTTGCTCCATCTGATTGTGCCATGATTGCTAAGATGGTGCTGTTGTTCCCTTTATTAACGTCATACATGTGCTCCTTTAAACGAACTGCCAGGTTTCTCGTGGTGACACCCACATAATCTTTTGCCACTCCTAATTGTTGATTTTCAAAGGGAATTCTATAAACATCAGCCTTTTCCTTCATTCGTATCTTGTCCTTATCATTCCTTAGCAATTTGTAGATGTTTGGCGCTCGTTTATAAACAGTTCTTGTGCTCTTATATTTACATAATTCTTCCATTATTCCTTCTACATTCCTGTTCTATGTAAACTTATTAAACCTATTTTTTAGCTTATTCCGTTTGTTTGTCTCTTGTTTGTAACTTTTGACCAATCTGTTAATTGTAGATGTTTTGTATCCTAAACTTTTCACAATCTTCCTGATTCTGTTAATCTCGCTAATTCTATCCTGTACGTTGGTGCAATATAAGAACGCTCTTTTAATAAGTGCCCTAAACGATGCCATCTTGTATCTAAACGGATCATTAGACCATGCCGGGATATAGTGGAGAATGTGTGGGTTTTAGATACACTGCCGTTTGTACATATCCTTGTTTAAATCTTATGTTAATATCCAAAAAATAGATATGTGTATGGTTTTTTTGTTCAAGTTTTAGTTTTAACCCATGTTTATTGTTACTTATCGTAATTAAAAATTCCTCAATCCTTCGGTTAGTCTTCCAAACTGTCAATATGTCATCAACATATCTTTTGTATAATATAATGTCCTCCATGTAGTTTTCTAGAACCTCCTTTTCTAGTTGACGTACCACTAATTCGCACAAGAGACCCAACATGGGACTACCCATTGGGACTCCTTTCCTTTGTTTGTACACCATCCCATTGAACGTAAAAAAGGATTGGTAACACATCAAATCCGCCAATTTATTTAAGTCTTCCATATACGCTGTTAATCCTGGATTATGTTGTACCATAAAATCAACAAGAGTATTGAAACAAGATGTTAAATTCATGGAAGGGTACATGCTTTCAAAATCCATAACCGTTCCTATTTCATCATTCATCAGTGCCAAACCTTGTAATTCTTTTACCAACTTATTTGGATCCTGTGTTACATATACATTATCTTCCAACATTTCATAGATATCCTTTTTTAATCGTTTCTCTAGTATAAAGGTTGGTGCACCACATTTCTCAACTACCGGTCTAATTTCTTTGTTTTGCTTGTGTGTTTTTGCGAACGCAAATATTCTGGGTATTTGGGGACACGGATTATGTGACTTTTTTAATAACATCATGTACTTCGTGAGTGGAGTTTTTTCTAGCTTTTTAACTTTGTTGCTCGTTATTGTTACAATTTTTTCATCCATGATATCACATTCCATTTTCTTAATATAATCTTCAATGGCTTCATTATACCTTCCTCTTTCCATAATCACCATTTGTTTAGTTTTGTCGGCTTTTGTTAACACTAACTGATTTTTTGTTAGCCATTCTTTTGTATACTTTATATTTAATTTTTCCCTACAAACTACCTCATGCCTCTCCTTTTTTCTGAAAACCATCTTCCATCTAAAATAATCCCTTTCTACTTCATTAAGACCGGCCATACCTCTTTCTATTTCAGTCATTGTAGTTTCCCAATCGTTCATGTTATTTGGAACATAACTGGGTCCATTCCTTAATACCATATCCACATTTTTTGGTACTTTAACCTGGTCCCATAGAATATAAGGTGGTACACTTCTTTTTTGTTTCTTGGGAGCTTGTTTCTTTACAATCCACCTTATTTTTTTGAAATATTTCATTTCAAGGGTATTTGTTACCCAGTCCATTAGCCTTACTACCTTATTATTGATTTCTTTAACAATTGCGGATTTTTTGATATATTGCTTCTTCAAATTCAATACACTCTTTTAAAATTCCATATTTTTTGTTTTTTACAAGTTTAATAGATTTACGTAAACATGTTTCTTGGAATCTTCTTTTTAACATATAGCATTCTACAGGTATGCTCATTCTATGTATGAACATTAAAAACACTTTCTTTTCAGGATAGAATTAGCGAGACTAACAGAATCAGGAAGATTGCAAAAAGTTTAGGATACAAAACATCTACAATTAACAGATTGGTCAAAAGTTACAAACAAGAGACAAACAAACGGAATAAGCTAAAAAATAGGTTTAATAAGTTTACATAGAACAGGAATGTAGAAGGAATAATGGAAGAATTATGTAAATATAAGAGCACAAGAACTGTTTATAAACGAGCGCCAAACATCTACAAATTGCTAAGGAATGATAAGGACAAGATACGAATGAAGGAAAAGGCTGATGTTTATAGAATTCCCTTTGAAAATCAACAATTAGGAGTGGCAAAAGATTATGTGGGTGTCACCACGAGAAACCTGGCAGTTCGTTTAAAGGAGCACATGTATGACGTTAATAAAGGGAACAACAGCACCATCTTAGCAATCATGGCACAATCAGATGGAGCAAATGTTAAGTAGGATGATGCAAGGATAGTTAGACCGGTCCATTCTCCGACTATTTCGTTTGGCATAGAAAAAATGCAGATATATAAGAGTAAAATAAATAACAATTGCTTAAACGCAAAGGATGCTAATGCTCTTCCAACAGTATGGAAATACTTGTTAGAAAAGGAAATGGGAATTAAAAACCCGTAAACTTATGGAGGATATATTTTATTAGTTTAATGTATATTTTTTATAACATTAATTTTATATTTATTATATAGTGTTAAAAAATTTTTTTAGTTAAGTATTTAATAGTTTACAGTTTATTATAAAGATGTTTAAAAATATGTTAAAAATTTAAATTTAAAATTTATTCGAAAGTTTTGTATTCGATTGTAGAACATTACTGTTCTACAATTGTATACAGAACAGTAATGTTATACTTAAAATTGTATGAACAGTAATGTTCTACTTCGATTGTAGAACATTACTGTTCTACAATCTTGAGGATGGCATATTAGAAGTAGGCTGAAAACGTTTGAACTGTAAATTAATAATAAGCTCAGCAAATTGTTTGGTGTTTGATTATAATTGTAAGTAAACTGCTGAGGAAGTGAGAGTAGAAAATGAAAGTGTTTTTTACATTGCAACCATGCCCCACCCTGAGCACATAAAATGGTTAGAAGCTATGACTATTTATAAAATGAGCTATACAAATACATGCATCAACCAAAAAGAAGAGCTCAACCTATCACCAGCCTGGCAACTCCTCCTAGACAATTATCCGTAATAATTGACACATGTGCACAATGGTGCATGTCTGTCGGAGTGGAATTTGGTGAATTTTTCAATTTGAAATCTCATGTTCTATTTTTTCTCAAGTACAGTAGAACCTCGAAAACTCGGCCTAATGTGGACCGAAGGGTGGCCGAGTTTGTGAAAATGCCGGGTTATCGGGAATGGGGTTAATAAAGATAAGTACGAGTGTTTCCTCAGAAAATACTGTACTGTACTTGTATGTATTGTTTACTTGAGAATATAACAGAGAATAAACTGCCCAAATACCCTTAAACAAAGGAAAAGTACGTCCTTTATGAAGGCATAGAGCCTTTACTACATGAAAATGAAAATTAATGAATACACTGTGTACAGTAATTTACCTGATAAGACAGACCTCAGAAAAATACTTTATGAGAGCTTTTATACTTTTATAAAGCTGTGTATAATGAAAATTAATTAACTAAGAATGTTTTTGCCCTGCCAGGGTGTGGCCGAGTTACCCGGAGTGCCGGGTTACCAAGAGCCGAGTTTTCGAGGTTCTACTGTATTCCATTTCCACCTGAAGAAGAACTTCATAAAGTTCGAAAATGTTTGTGGGATGATCTTTTATAGGATACACGCCAGTAACAGGTTCAATTTTTGATTGTAAGTGTAGTATACTTCCGGTGTTAGTAAAGGGTTTAACAGTATCATGTATTTTAAATTACAATGTGGAAACTTTATTATGTTATGTTATAATATAATGTTTATATTATAATTTTTATTTTCATTACATAATAAACTTGATTATAAAATAAAATATGTATATATTAAATATTTTAGTTTGTAAGTTTTTTATTTAAATTAATACATATTTATTTTTATTAGTGGAATAGTATTACAACGTTGGAAACCATTGACAGTTGATATTCAGTGTGATATTGAACTTGTGTTATATGCAAATTATATAGAAGTAAAAAATAGTCAGTCATCAAGCACAGTAGATTTAGATGAAATGGTTGGTAAAGTTTATATGTTTTTAATTGATATCAAAATATAAACTATTAGTAATCAGCGCTGTAACTAGCCTTTTATGCTCCCTGTGCGAGCTTCTGTAACTACACCCCAAAACTATGATCCAAAACTTGGTCCAGATCATTTCTGTGCTCCCCAGAATCTGCACCCTGTGACTGGGCACCGCTGGCATTGCCCTAGTTACAGCACTGTTAGTAATAATAAAATTTTTAAAAATAATTTGAAGATAATTCAAATTTAGTTACTATAATACTAATTGTAAGTTTTCAACATACTTTATTATTTAACTTTTGATGAATATTTTTTTTTTATTGTAAGATTTAAATTCATTACATTTATATTTAATTAGAGTAAATTTGTTTAATCTGTCTTATCCTCCCATGCTTATTACATTTTAAATTCAGTAACATCAAATATTCGACTTTGTAGAGACTTTGTGGCATAAGAATTCGCTTAACTGTGGAAGCAATACTGTAAATTGAATTTGGTGTTAGAAAATGTCAGTTCCATTAACTGGATACTAAAATTTCAAATTAATTATATCTTTACACTATTAATAACTTTAATGTAAATGAATATTTTCAGCTATTTATTGAGGATGTTAAAAATGCATTTTAGCATTTATATGATAGACAGTACACACCATACTGACAAGGAGATGGCAATATGTTTACATTTCTGATTCAAACAAAACTTGGTGAGCACATAGCCGTAATGACAAACAGATCCTAGTCCAAATAATAGGATCCACTTCTCTAGTATTTCTGTAAAATGAGCCTCTGAAAATATAGTTTTTAGCTTATGTCTTTGAAAGTTTCACTTATCCTTGTAATTGTGATAATCAAGTGCATAAGATGCTAAGCATAGGAACTGTGCAATTTAGGTTCATTCCTTTGCAATTTTAGTTAGTTTTTTTTTTAATGTGTACCAAAATATTTTATTATTTTACTATATCATTAACATTATTATTACTATTGTTATTCCTCATGTTTGAAGCTTATAACACAAGAGATTAAAAAACATGGTGCTATTTCCAGTTTAATAAAACAAACTGTCTCTGTAGATTTAACTCTTGTAAGATGTTAAATAAAATTTTTATTTTTTCATATTTATTTTCAGATATTTTTGCTTCTGTTCACATACTATATCAACACAAGTGAATAGTCTTTGGGTTTAAGAATTGAATATAAATTTAAATAAAATTTTTAAAAGTTTATTTAAATTTATATTGAATTCTTAAATATGATGTAATTTATACAGTAGTTAAAAATATTTAAATTTAAAAATTTTTACGAGTCTGATGATATGGTGTCTAATCTTATATTTGAGCCGTTCACAAGCCAAATTGATTAACTCCATTTGTAAATCCTTAATATAATCATTATTATTTTTACATTTTTCGTGTATATGTCGTTATGTTAAAGCTATGCTTTAATATAACGGTATATAAAAATACATTCTACACTGTTTATTTAAATTTAAACTTTAAAAGGAATTTTAAAAAATAATTTATATTATCAATTTTTATACTTTTTGTTTTGTGGAGTTAATCAATTCGGCAAGTGAGTGGTTTATTTGTAATTATATAAATTAGATAACTTTTAAAATTAATGTATATTTAAAGTATAATGTATATTTCCTTTATTTTTCTGAATACAGCATGCAAACCTCATTATATATATCTGAAATATTTAAACAAATTTTTTTAGATGGAAGAATTTAAATTATTTTGGAAAAATCATAGCTCATGTCCAATTGTTGGAAGAAATTTTATATTATCAAGTCTTTGTCCTCAAGTGTTTGGTTTATATATTGTAAAATTGGCCATTGCATTAGTATTAGCAGGTGGTATTGCAGTAAGTAATATTTCATACTTAAAAATTTTGATATATGGGAGTGTTATGAAGTAGTCTAATGTAGCTAAAAGAATTGATTATTTTAGGCTGAAATTGGTTTATGTATATAAATTATTTTTAGCAATTGAAAGATTTGGATATTAGTTTTTATTTTCTATATGTCTTTGTTTATTGTATAGTTTATTCTCAACAATTTAATTAAATTAATTATTTAAATTTTATTTGTCATTCTAATTCTCAATATTTAAATAGTTTAAGATATGAAATTTTTAAAATTAACTGTATTTATTTTTATTGTAAAAATTCATATTATAAAGAAAATTGATTAAAAACTTTTTAAAATAAATTTTGTATGCTATATAATTTATTCTTAGAATTCTGTAACAGTTTACAAATTTATCAAATTTTACAATCTAAAGTGGTTTATTATACTTATCTTATTTTTAACATATAATCTGTTATTAATAATTATAATTAATAATCATCCCAGAGCAGGATAAGAACCCACACTGTGCAGATGCATTGCTAGTTATGGTATTTAGAAATTTAGCTGATTCTTTTCTTCCAAAATATTCTAAATTAAAATTAATTTATTTCTAATTATTAAATTTACTATGAATTGGTGGTATATCTAATCAAATCTATATATATAAAAATGAATGTATGTCTGTCTGTCTGTCTGTATGCCCTTCATGCATTACCACACCGTTTGAAACTTTGGGAAGTTGTTTAATATACTCCGCAAAGGTTTCTGGCATAGTACATTTATCCTATGATAGATGGCGCGAGTGTATACAAGCATTTCATCGTGAGTTTGATCAATTTCAAATTGTGAAGACCATTTCCCCCCTCCAAAAAATATCTCTATATATGCATTTGTGAACTGTTATTTATAATATTTGTAATAATTTTTGTTTAATCACTTTATTTCAAGTATTTTTTGCTAATTATGTATTCACTCAAACTTTGTAAAACCTTAACTGTATCCCAAACAACAACCAAAGTTGTAGGAGGAAATTCACCTATTTTACCGATCTAGGGATCCTCCTTTTCCAAATTTTAATATCAACTCAAAATAATTTAAAATGACAAATTACAATAAAACGGTTTATTATCCAACTATCAGAAATTTCACAACATGCCAAGGAAGAGAGAAAGGAGCAATTAAACAATTAAAATTGTAAAGGATTAAAAAATATATGTAAAAATGGGAAATATTGCACTTCTGACAATCGCTGCAAGTGTGTGGGCTAGATTTGGAGAATCCATGCTTCTCACATGGACAACTGTATGTGGCCAGCACACGTGTCGGAAAACCTTCTGATTTATTCGTGTACACACCAGACAGAAAAACAAAAGATATCGTGTATCCACAAGCACTTCAATAAATAAATAGAATTGAAATGACACTTTGAAATGTTTTCCCGATGAAAATTAATAATAATAATAATAAGTTTCAATAAAAATGATAAAATGTAAATTGAATTTTATCATAACGAGTTTGCTTGAATTTCATTCCTTCTGAGATTGCAGCAATCTGCGACGGGTAAGCTAGTTGATTTATATTTATCTTAATAGATTGAATTTCATTTGAATGAAATGTTCTAAATTGCTAAGATTGAACTGTGACTTTAATCAAACATTTCCTAATCAAAATATTTCAGTATAAATTATTCAATAAAATGCATATATTTTATCTTATCCTGTTTACAGATACTGTACATTTAATTTAAGGAAGATCTAAGTATTAGATGTGTTTATTTAATTATAGAGTTTTAATACTTTTAATTAACATTTATAAAGCTAGCTAATGAAATTATATTAAAAATTTTTATTTTTAGAGAGTTGATGCTAGTGGGACAAAAATTAGGGGTGAATCTCACCTGTTACTTGTAGGTGATCCAGGTAAGAATTGTATATGCATCAGTTAAATTTGAGATTTATAATACAAGTTGTTTAAAAAATATGACCAAAATCTTCAGGAATGGATTCCTTACATAGAGAAGAAAAATAAATCATGACATGGGTCTGGAAATGCTTTGTTTCAGAGTTAATGAAATTTTGCATTATCTCAGATGAAATGTTAAAAATGTCCACTGCCTGCCTGAATACAGGCCTCAACTTGTCATCTTATAGAGCCCCAACATGCTTTCAAGTTCTTGGCATAGCTTGCAGTCTGACAAGCTGCCATAATTTGCTCTCGGAGTTTTGGCATCATCTGCTGAAGTTGAATACAGCAAAGACTTTAAATGTTCCTACAAAAGGGCGTTTAAACCTACAAAAATGTCTAATTGGTTTAAATATAGTTTAACATTGTTCTACCTAGACACAATTGAACACTTTATTATGTTTGTTTGCAAGGGTCCTGGAAGGGTTTGTTTTATTGCAGTAAACAAATTGGGGTATGTGAGATCCACCAGGATGTAGAACTAAGTTTACGCCACTTACTGGCCTATTCCGTGAGAATAGTTCTCTAAAGTTTCGAATCGCGAGATCCGATCTTAAAAACTTACATAGGAAGGCGGTAATATCTAGGTTTAAGGAGGATTAAAGACTGTGAAGTCTCTATCCCAACGTCAGGTTCCCGATACCAGTTTGTCAATTAATCGTTCCGCGGACAAACACGTGTGCTATTATTTTATAGAACTGATTCAGAAAGTTTACACGAGACATTTCTTGAACAAATAAACAAGAGTAAATTTAATTTAACATAAACCAATAAAAGTAGTACACATATATGGTAATGAAAGACAAAAATACAAATTACAAACTATAAGTCGAGAAAGATATGGACTTATACTTAACCTTTACGAGAGAGAGAGCTTACAAAATCGTTATTAAACATACAACCTGGTTTAGTTGTCTTTCGTCTTCTTCTTAGGTAGGCAAAGGCACTTCATTTATAGGTTCTCAAACTTCATTCCATGGGAGGTCGAAATGTGCACAATATTAAAGTATATCTTCTAAACGCTAACACAAGATTTATTCTATGTGATTCGACTAAAGGCGTTGGCCATCAGGAGCTTGTTCGGACTTCGTCTTAATACTCGGGGTCTGTTGACGAACTCCTAAGGGAGATGGGGAGCCAGTATGGGAGACATCTCTTCTGCATGAGATTTTCTGACGAACTCCTCGAATTCGGTTGAACATCCCCTATATCTTGTCATCTACGACCAATTATCTGTCGAGGCTTTATCCACGTGAACGGATGGGAAGGGGGTGAAATGAGGGGTAAACAGTTCCCACCGAAGCGAGATTTTTAGCAGATAATGGAAAAACAGAGGATGTTCTAACTTCCGTGGAAGGAAGTGACTCTCTCAGCTGTTTTCCCATGCTAGAAAAAACGTTATTTTTCCATCCCAAACGAAAGAATATTTTATGACAAAATATTAACATTATTAATAAAATTACTATTTTAGACCAGGGGCTATTCGGATCTCACAGTTACACTAAGATCTTACTGGATAAGCTTTTACTTTGAAACAAAGTATTTTAGGACACATGTTTAACTTACTTTTCTCTATATATGAGGAATCCATTTCTGAAGTTTGTCCATATTTTTGAAACACCCTGTATAGCAACTAATGTATTGCATACATTTTATTATATATTTATTCTTTTAAGCTTTCTATTATCGATACTATCAGTCTATCATCATAAATGCAATATTTTACTGGATAAGCTTTTACTTTGAAACAAAGTATTTTAGGACACATGTTTAACTTACTTTTCTCTATATATGAGGAATCCATTTCTGAAGTTTGTCCATATTTTTGAAACACCCTGTATAGCAACTAATGTATTGCATACATTTTATTATATATTTATTCTTTTAAGCTTTCTATTATCGATACTATCAGTCTATCATCATAAATGCAATATTTTCTGAAGTTTTAAATATATTAATAATTAATAATATATAATTTTCTTATTGTTTATAAAGCATTATTATAGTCCTTGATTTTGAATGTTATTTTTTCATTTCCATTTTCATTGCATAACTACTTAAAAGCTTTATGACTGACTGATTCCAAATGTTATTCATATAAAGAAGGATATTTGTCTTTTTCACAGCATTTGTAAGTTGGAAATATTAAGCATTTCAACACAGATTGTCAAAGATCTCTGATGATATCTAAGAAATTTAAAATGCTTTAAAATATATAGATTTATAACAAAATAATTATTTTACATTAAAACTTTATTTTTTAATTAATTTTTTTGATAAAATTACTAACATTATATAATATAAATAAAAGTTTTATTATGATTCTTTAACTATATTTTAAGGAACAGGAAAATCTCAGTTTTTGAAGTATGTTTCTAAAATTTGCCCTCGTTCTATCTTAACAAGTGGAATTGGTAGTACAAGTGCTGGATTAACTGTCTCTGCCATTAGAGTAAAGTATTAAGTTTCAGTTTATTATTTTAATATTCTTTATAAAAATATATTCAGTAAATAAAGTTTTAAAACTGTTTTCCATATGGAAATAAATATTAAAACATTTCATTAATTGTGAAAAAAACATATTGCTATGATTTGAAGTTTATGGGTAATTTCAGATTGTATTAATTAAGTTTCTATGGTTGATTTTATTTTATGAATAAAGTTATTGATAATTCAATAACTTTATTCATTTTGAGTTATTCTCATTCAGTTAATACTAACAATTACTAAGTTTTCCACCCATTTTCAATGGAGATTACTATAATCTGTTGACTGTAACTTTACTCTTAATTTTCAGCAATAATTTTCACTTTATTTGGAATACCAATTATATTAGTATTAAGACAGGAAGATATATTTTTATTTTTTCAATAATCATTTGAAGAAGTTTCTTTTTTAATTATTAATTAATGTTAAATATGAATACAATAAAGTTTACTTTTTATAGATGCAGTTAGTCAAAAATAATGTTATTTTTTAACTGAATATCATCAGTGTTGACACAAGTATTATACAATTGTCATTGATTAATGTTGATTTTAGCAAAATGGATAGGAAAGTGAGCAAAGCTTATTTTTCCGTCTATTTTGTGAAATTCAACAAGTGATGAAATTTAAAAATTTAAAAAATCATTAAAATGTAATAAGAAACTTTTCAGTTATATTTAATTAATTTTTCAAATTTAACTATTTTTGTAGTTTAATTTTAATTCAGAGAAAGAAACAATAGAAAGCAATTATTTGGAAAAAAATGCCTTTTGGTATTAATTGTCAACAACAACAATTTTTTAAAAACAACAACAATATTTTAAACTATTATTTTAACTGTTAAAATCATGATTTATCTAAAAGTTATATTTTACATGGATTATTTTACATGAAACATGGATTAATGAAATGAGGTAAACATGTGGAATCCTGACATTGTGAATATAACTTAATTTACAGTTAACAATATAGTGCATATTGGATGTAAATTAAATAACATCAACCTATATCCAATTTACCAATAAAATTTCAAACATGAAACAGAGCTCATGTTGGGGTGCAAAAACTAAGCATTACCTTGCAATAAACCAAAAATTGTTAAAAATATAAATGTAACTCATACTAAAATCAAAAAATAAAGTAAATACAAATACCAGACATATGAATGTAAAATAACAATGAGCAATTATTTTATTGTGACATCATCACAATGCCGAGTTGCTATTTTTAATAATATTGTTAAATTTATTCAATTTAAAATATATGCCCTCCACCTTCAAATTAACAGTGTACATCATACTTTTCCTTTAGCAATCAAGTCATGCTGGTCATCTAACTCCTTTCAAGGGAAAATTTTTGAATTGAAATAACATGATTTCCAGTTTGCATTGGAAGTTTGTATATAGTTATCAGGGCATCTTGCCTCTAATGTTTCCATATCTGGTCTTGTCTTTTGTCTATCTAACTCCATTCTTGAGATTAATGAAAGATGGATGGATGGACAGACAGTGGGATGACAGTGGGAATTTATATATCTACAATTTTTTCAAATTGCAGCCCACTAATAATATGAATAGCTTATACTGGATTATTAGAGTTTTAATACAAACTTCCATGTGTTGGAAATAGATGTGCATCTCTTTTATTGATACACTTTCCCTTATTGTCTGTTTTGTATATTTCCATAATCTGTGTGTTGACTGAAAACACACCAGTCTTTTTCTTCTCCATACTTTTTCTTTTCTGGATATCAATATCATGTTAACTGGAGCAGCAGTCACCAATCTTTCTTACTTCATGGAACACTATCATAAATTTTTTTAAATGATACAAACATCTATAGATTAATGATCATAAAAGTTCCATTTTACTTTATTAATATGAAATTCAATTGTTTAATTATAACAAATTAGTGTGAAGTTTGTTGCTGCTTGTTTGAACTAAGTTTGTGGATTCTTGCCTCTTTCTTGGTTGGTTATTTACATGTATTGACATTATTATTTATTGATAAGTATTTTGTGTCTGGTTTTAGATTTGAATAAAAATCCCCAATGAGTATGAAAGAGCAATCAAGCATTTTGCATTTCTTTCATAATATTTTGCATAACCTTGAGTTGATCAATGTCCAAATTTCTCCACAGATCGTCAGTGGTTATAAATTGCTGGTTGGCAACTACTGAACTGGAAGACAAGTAAGCATAAATGTATGCAGAAACATGGCATTTGACCCTCTATGTCCCTGACAACTTTTGTGACCCTTATAGTTATAAAATAGCATTTTAAGCACTAGTTTAACATGCATTCTCCTGTTGCTTTTCTGTTTGTGAAAAATTGAAAGAGTTTGAATATATTGTCTATAGTTAATAAGCATGAGCTACATTTATATTTTTAGGAATTTTTGATTTATTGCAAGGTAATGCTTAATCTTTAAATCCTACATGAGTTCTGCTCCATATGTTTGAACCTAAAATGAGTCATTAAGTGACTCAAAAATTTTGGTCACTTGTAAATGTTAGAAAAATGTTTATTTGGTTCTTATTTTAATAAATTGTTTTCATTCTTACCTTTTTTTAATTTACGTTGAATGAAATATTTTGTGTATGTGTGTTTTTGTCTTTCAATTTATTATTTTTTTATGTATATGTAACATTCCAATTATCAAAGTTTTCATTATTATTTTTTATGGAAATTTTATTTTTTATTTAATGTTGCTGAATTAATATGACTTAAGAATTACCTTTGATTTACAACTTTAAAATAGTTTTAAAATCATACCTTAAATTTATATGAAGGATGGAGGTGAATGGCAATTGGAAGCTGGAGCTTTAGTTCTTTCAGATGGAGGAATATGTTGTATAGATGAATTTAATAGTATTAGAGAACGTGACAGAGGAAGTATTCATGAAGCTATGGAACAACAAACTATTAGTGTTGCCAAAGTAACTATTTAAAATTAAATATTTTATATATTGCAGTTAAAAAAATGATTTTAGTTATATATCTTAATAAATAATATAAATTTATATTCTATTTAGAATATATATAATTGTGAATTTGTTGCATTTGAATAAAAGTTGATTGTGAGGTTTTATAGATGAAAATATTTTAATAATGCTGTATACATAAATTCTGTGTTTATTCATTTTATGCATATGAGAAGGTGGGAAAGGTGCTATCAAGTTATTGAAATACAGTAGACCCTCCTATAACGCTTAGATATGTTCCACGTTAATTGAAATTTATGTTGTAGGAATGATTAAATGCATGAGCCAATCGCAGCCCAATAGGTGTGAACTTTACGGACTAAGGCTGTTTGAAAGGTTTTCTTCTATAAAATTAACCGATTCTAGACTAATTCCACTCAACATTTCCAAAACACATATAATTTTTTGGGAATAATCTGTATAAACTATGCTATAAACAAAAAATTATAGGATTACTTACCGAGTGTGTACCGTTCGACTACGCCCGTTGTTCAAAGCTTGTCTTCGTCGCGGAACAGCACACGAAACGGCGGCCGCGATTTCTGATAACGAATTTTTCGCAGAAAAATAACTTGACCTTTGGAGACATCATTAATATAAATAATTTTTATGGCCGTTGAATAAGAAGTGTTTCTTTCACAAGAAATGTATAAAATTAGTGCTGTATTAGACTTACGGTACCTAATTTACATACTGTACAGACGATAATAAACTCAACTTACTAGCCTAAAATCTCCGTAGCGTGTTGCCAGGCGGCAGAAAGCATATATATAATTATAATAAAGTTACAATAAATTAAGTTAATATATAATTATATATACAGTACCTAATTTATATATAATTAATATATAATTATATGTACAGTACCTAATTTATATATAATTTATATATAATACTAAACAGACGATAGCAAACTCAATTTAGCCGCTCCGTAGCGTGGCGCAGGGTCGGAGGAAAGTAGTTCGGCTGCTCATCCACTATTGGTCCAGACTCTATCAATCTTGTCGCGAAATGAGTCGGCAAAGACATTTTAGGAGGTGCTTTATACGAATGTTGCTACAATTTTTTCGCTACGTTATAGGAATTGTCGTTATAGGAACGCACGTTATAGGGGCGTCAACTGTATTATAATTTTTAATAATAATAAAATAAGCTAATTTTTGTCTTTATAAGATCTGAAATTTATGTATTGTGTGAACTAATTTTGTTTTTATTTCAAAATTTGTTTTGTACAGTATTATACTTTTACTTAGTTCTTGAATTTCAAACTTATCTAACAAATTGTATGAGTTATGGTAATATCAGTTTCATATGTTCAAGAAAATAAAAAGAAATTTAGATTGTTATTTCAGTGAGGTTGCTGAGTTGTGCTTAAAGTTAGAATGGAAGAGAAGTACTGATTTGGAATGTGAGCGTGATAGATACCAAGTCAGACTCCATGGTTATAAAGAAAATTATCTCAATTTATTTTAAAAACACAAAAAAGAAACCTTACAGCAATAAATTCTTAGTGTTTCTGCAGGTGATGACTGTAAATCTTCTGGTTCTTTTAAAAGAGAGATTCCTGAGAGAATGATCCTTCAGTTCTCTTTTTTGTTTTGGGGCAATGTTGTTCAGTCCCTGGAGGAGGTGACGTCAGCCCAGATAGAGTCCAGGATGAAGTAGAAAATGCCACTAAGTAAGATCTTGCACTATGAGAAATTTGGAGAGAGAAGCTCTCCTTGTCCTTGATATCAGAGTTTTTATCATCTTCAGTCCTTTATCAACCATTTTGATTGGTTATCTTTTCTCATTCCCACTTTCTAATTGATTGTCACTCATTACTAAGTGTAATGAGATCTGAACCTAGATCATGGGGTGAGTCAAAGTTGACATTTAATCAGATCCCAACTGGAGATAGTTGATCTTAGGACTTACATTGTCTAGTTTTTCTATTTTCTGATAAAAGGTTTTATTTTCAATATTATTATTAATATTTTCTCTTATGGACATAAAAATTATATTTTACAATATTAACAAATTTAGTGGTTTTTCAGTGGTATGCGGTGACATTTGATGATAGGGAAGCTGGGACGGCCCTGGATAAAATCATTGAAAGCGTTATACGATATTTTGGTATGTAGCATCCACAAGCTAAACCGTGTGACATTGGTGCTCTGTAAAGCACATGTGCGAATGCATATAATCTAGCTGCTTTACACGATTGAAATATATTTGCCATGGAAGCTATTCTATATTCAACAATTACAGCACTTCCATTGGGAAAATGCATATACGAATTTATATTCAAATATACAATAGCAATTTTATTATTGTTTTTAACATGTATATAAATTTGTAATAAGATACATAATGTGGTTTATAATAAAATATTAATTTTGATTAATTCAAAATATGTTAAAATATGAAAATAATTGCACAATATGTATTTATATTTTAGAAAATACAAGGAAAGCTGCACTTCCACAGCTTCCATGGATGGCATGCTACTGTGGTTTTTAGATTTTAGTGTGGTTCTGGGACATTTCTGGAGCCTCACATTTCTATGATAGAAAATGTGTGTTAAAAGATTCATTTATTATGGTTAAATTTTAGTATTTATTTTTGTTTATATAAAGATTTAATCTTAATAGAAATATTAAATCAAATTATATGAAAATAAAATATTTAAATTACATAAAAATTGATTTGAGAGACTTCATTGCTAAATTAAAATAAAAACTTAAAAAATAAAATTCTCAAAAAAGTTTCTGAGGTCTTTCAGTTCTTTTTATGTGGACTGTTTTAGTACTCCATTTAAATATTTCAAATTTTAAATATAAATTATTTTAGAAATTGAAATAAAAAGCTTCCTCAAGGTGATATGCAAATTTCATTTCATCCAGGCAATTTCTTTTTAGTAATCCACGTAAATCATCTTTGCTTATAAATATGCAATTCAGAATCATGATATAATTATACAAGATGCATTTTTGCTAAACTAATTAGGAGTGCATAATGTTGATGAGCTCTATAGTACAATAGAATCTTATTGTAATCAGTTTAAATGTTCAAATTATTATTATTAATTAATAGTAATTCATGTAATATTGTTTGCTATTATATCCATCTGATATTGTTATCTAATATTAATGTAATATTGTTTTTCTATGGTTTTTGCTGTACTATCTTTATTAACAGATAGCATATAACTGAATTAACAATTATCAGCCATTTAATCTATTATATTATGAGCAAATAATAATTAAAATGTTTAAACAAAAAACAATAAAAAGATGAACATTTTAGAGCACTGTTTAATGAAAGCATTAATCAAACAAATATTTTATGTTGAATACCTGACTGTTTTTTATTCTTTTATTAAATTATTTGTGTATTTTTTAAATAATTTCCATAGACACCCCAATGACTGAGTAGTTGGTGACAGCCTACCACTCTGGGGACCTGGGATCAAATTCAGATGGGTTGAAAACCCCAGGAATTTTTTGGAATGGTCCATCCAGATATGTCAGGTTTCATTCCTCATTATCTGATTACTTGTGCATCGTGGGCCTGGTGAAATCCACAAAGGACTTGCTAAAGTCTTTTGTGGATTTTTAGCCAGGCTTCCTTAGTGCAGAAACACATGACAGAAAGAGTTAAAAATATATGTACCCTACTTATTCAATTTTAAGCCATGCTTTTTTTTTTTTTGTTTTGCATTTTAATATCCTTGAAAATCGAGTGTGGCAACATTCAATCCTGGTGATAATCCTGGATGGTATGATGAGCCAACTGCAGTTGCTCGATGTTGGCATCAACAAGATTTTTAAGGACTATGGAAGAAAACAATATAAAAATTGGTTATTTGGAAAGCCATGCTTTAACTGCTACTGGAAAAATAAAGAAGATGAGTGCTTCAAAAATTGTGGAATGGGTATTTGTTATCTGGAAAAAAGTTCTCAGTGAAATTAATAATTCATTTCTTTAAAAAATGCTGCATTAATGGATGGCTTACAGCAACTTAGTTTTGGAAAATGACAATACCAACATTGGTTCCAAAGTCAGCTATGATAGTGCAACTGATGAATTATTTTGACAATGTAATAGTGAAAACAATTAAGTTTTACTTTAAATTATGTATTTAAGATTTTTTTAATAAAGAATTATTCACTCCTTGTTACTTTTCATTTTTGAACTATGTAAATTAATCTTACTACTAGTATTTTTTATTTTCACTAAAACCTGTTGAGAATTTGAGGTGTGATTTAGAATTGAATAAATATGGTATTTTCCAAAGGTTATAGTAAAAGAATAAAAGTGACTCTAAGAAAATAATAAGATAAAGTGGTTTCTGGTGTCAATCTTCCTCTATACAGAAATTTTATACTGATAAGTCAGTAGTTGATGTTACATCTTAGTGAAATATTTTTTTGTTATACAATATCTATGTAATATAAATCACAGATAAAAATACAGTTATATAATACTTTTTATCAATGCTTTTTTACTTTCCTATTGCAAGATTAATGTTTAGGAACTCAGGTTTAAAAATGTTTGCATCAGAAGTTTTTCATTGTACACATTCATTAACAGTGTGGAAGTGGTATGATGTTTTGAAAGCTTAAAAGTTTAAATTTATAATTACTAGATATATGGCCATAAATTTATAGAAGGGCATGTGATTATGGCATGGGATGATATGAAATAAATATGATGGATGCATCACTTAGAAGAATGCATCCTCAATGGAATTAATGGAAAACTAAAGTGCAGAAAGAGAAAGTTTGTACTATAATGACTAAATACATAAAATAGGTTAGTAAAAATGTTGAGACAAATAGAATGACAATGAGAGGAAATTTAAAAGGAATATTAAATTATAAAATTAAATAAAAAAAGTAGTGCCACTGAATACTTATCTTGCTGTGTACAATTTTAGATAGGATAATTGTACTTCATTTAAAATATACATT